TTGTGACATTTTAGAGATTCAAGTGATGAGAACAATAATATGAATTTTTTAAAATAAATTACACAAGATTAATAAAAATTTGGAAATCTAAAAGAAGAAGAAAATAGAAGAGTTGTAGAAGAGGAAAACAAGGGAGCTTTGAGAAGAAGTTAACGATGAGCAGAAGAAGATTAAAAGATGGAGAAGAAACTTACCTGGGCATGTAGCAGATGCGTACATCCATCACTGCCGATCGACATTGATCGCACCCAGGGAATCGATGCAGCGAGAATCAAGAAGGCTATTTTTTGTCCAAATTCAAATAATTAGCCCTATTAAGGAAGCTTAAAACATTATTTCCTATTTTTGCAATTCTACCTTCTTTTAGTCCTATTTAGACAATTATTGTAAATTTTACTCCGTACATTTTAATTATGCAAAAACACAGTCTCAATGAGAAATATTTCCCTAGTCTTATCTTGTTTTATCCATCATATCCACCATTCGTAACACAAACTCAAAGCATAGAGCAGAAACAGAGGAGCCCAAGAAGAAGCTCAGAAATTCTAATGATGGCGTCCCTATTTTCCCATTCAGAATCCGTGCTTTAAGTCTTTTGGTTTCTTTGACTTCCGCTTCAACAACGTTTCTTCTCGTTCGTGCAACAGTCTCCTAATGCCCAGGTAATACTTATTCTTCAAATGTACTAGTTTATCTATGTGCAAGGTTTTTTTTTTGTACAAATGTGGAAAAACTATTAATCTGTTTAAATCAAATTATGAACTTTCATGATCGCGCAATTGATTTTGGGTATTTTTTTAAATGAGTAGGCGTAAGAATGCAGATTATATACGGAGTACCTTATATTTTTGTCTGTGTAATTATAGGTATTCATGGAGGCGCTTTGAAAGTAAATATGATGGATGGTGTGAGACTTTCTTCTTTATGGTATTTATTGAAGTTCTTGGTTTGGGCTTTTATACTCTTGTTTCTATTGCTTTACCAATTTTCTGCATTTTCTTTCTGTTCTGGTTTTGCAAAAACCTGCATATTTGGTTTTCTTAGTTCTATTACATATCACATGAAACACAGAAGTACTAGAACCAAGCAAGTTTCTTTGACCCTTTACACTATTATGTTTCTGGTTGAGCCGTTGAGGCCTTGAAGGATTACATGATATGGGGAGTTAGAACATGTTCTCTTCAAATTATTCCATTGCTAGATTAGACCAAAAGAGACTGGACCCTCGGCCCATAATATTAGACTTTAAACCCGAACATACCACAACAACATCCAAGCTTTATTCCCAAAAGAATTTGGGGTCAGCTATAATCCCGAGCATACCAGACTAGGAAAATTTATTCGAAGATAAAAAAAGGCCTTATTTATGCTGACTTTTGATTATAAAATCCAAACAAATGAGAGACATGTTTGCTCTTTACGTGGTGTTCTTCTTATAATTGCAAGTTGATGTCTCCCAAGGTTCATATTTTAATCTTTTTTTTGTACAGGGTGGTATGACCAATAAGAGCAATTGTTGCTGCACTGCAAGATTGCCTATTGATGGAGAAGATAGCAATCTTGCAAGGAAATCCGCGTTATTCTATAGACCTAGGGAAAATGAAATGGATTTCTCTTTTGAAGGTTTAGACATCAGACTTGATAACTGTCTTAAATTGGTGTCGATGTCTGGGATTGTGACTCTCCTTGGTACGCAAGAAGCAATTGCTGCTTCTGATATTGCTATGAAATTACCAGTAACATCCATCTTTGGAGATCTTGGAGATATAAGCACAGGTTTTGCTTCAGTTAGGAAAATCTCTTGATAACCTCTTGTTTAGAATCTTGTTGCTCATATAAGAACTTCACTTCTCTTACCTTTTTACCTTTTTACCCCTCCATGGGCCTTATAACACTTCACCTACTTAATAAATTGAAAAAAGTCATGTGTTCAGTGTTTGGAGGAATCATATAATTCTACTCAAGAGGCATATTCAGCCATGAATAGCATTACTTTTAGTTTTAGAACCCTTGTCACTATTTTTCTTTTGCTACCTTTATGTGTCTTTTTCTCTAGCTCTGGCGTTTTTGTGTTGTTCTTAATCACTTAAAAACCTTGTCTATTTTATTATAGGCATTCTTGTTGATATTCTTCTCAGAGCTCGGTGACAAAACCTTCTTTATTGCAGTATGGGGTTCTTCTCTATTAATTATTAGTCAGTTTTATTATCCTAGCAGATATTCAGTGTTATAAACTAATTTCTGGTTTCCAAAATATAATTGCAGGCTCTTCTGGCTGCTCGAAACTCTCCCGTAGTCACATTTTTGGGGACATTTGGTGCACTAACGTAAGTAATTTGCTTCTTCAGCTGAGATGGCATCAAACCGAAATACTCAACTATTTTTTAAGAATATCATCTCAGGGTAATGACGATCATTTCTGCGGTCATTGGGCGTACATTTCACTATGTGGATGGTATCCTTCCATTCAGGTAAATCATACATTTCTATATGAAATTGCAAAAAATTAGTCTATGTTTAGGAAGGTAGTTTGAGGGGAGGGGTTATTTTTATCATTTAAAGATAATATTACTTTAACTTTATATTTTTTCAAATTGAACATAGAAAATGATATATTAGTATAGAATCAATGTGTTAATCATTTATTTTACCGTAAAAGTGTAAACAATGCACAATTTGGTTAGATGAAAATTTATCACAACTCCCACGGTCCCACCTCATGGAGCTCTATTTCCAGTTCCTAAACACACCTTGATACGGTGAGAGTCAACCGTCAACTATCTGATAAATAGATGATTGGAAACACACCTTTGAATCTTGCAGTCTTGCTGAGGCATTTAGAAAATAGAAACCTTAGATGGAGAAACTTCTGGAAGAACACACAGAGCCACATATTTGTGTAATTTGTACTTCACAGTATATGAGTTACCATATATAGTAATTGTATGCGCCTTTACTCAATGTAGCCTTTGATAGCTATGGTGATATGTATCACATCTCTATTCCAACGCTTTGCCTATAGATAACTACTTGGGGACAATAAGAACAATAAAATAAATAAATAAATAAATAAATAAATAAATAAATAAATAAATAAATAAATAAATAAATAAATAAATAAATAAATAAATAAATAAATAAATAAATAAATAAATAAATAAATAAAGAAGTACACTTGGCTAAAAGTCTAAAAGTAGTAGTATTAAGTATTTACATGCAAAGCTAGCCTGCTGAACTCAAATATTCATCGGATACAACTATTGATCATCCGACTAGTTTTTAAATCTCGTAGCTTTTCTGTAGACACAGTGATGTATAGTTGTCTAAGAAACAATCAAGTATCTCTTGGGGATCAAACCTAAGAAAGCATCATGAATGCAGGCTTGGTGGCACTGAATTGCCTATTGATGATATTGCTGCAGTTATCCTTCTGGTAAGTAAGTCATCATGCAAGCTTGCACTATGGAAACACTGGCATATGAAATATACTATTTATGATATGTCTGTCTACTTCCAGCTGTATTTTGGTGTTTCGACCTTGCTTGATGCCTCTCGGAATGGAGTGAAAGCTGAAGAACAGGAGGTAAAACTTTACACTAATCTGATTAAAATGTTTCCTTATACTTGTAACTGCTAAGAGTTTTTTTACTTTTAATCCTCTAGACGGTTGCGGCTATGACTTTTGGTAAGCATTTTTTGAAAATTTCCACTTCCAATCCTCCAAGTATTGTACAGTGACTTTTGATGCCTGTTTTTAAATTCTCCACTTTTAGTCCTCTCATAATTGTCAGAGCGATACTTTTGCTACTCTTCTTTAAATTTGCCACTACAGTTGATGGACTAATCTCACTGTCACAACAGTTTGAAACCAAAGTGTCGCTACAGTGGTCAATGCTCGCCTGTTACGACATTGGGGCGCTCTCATTATTTTCCATCTGATTCCTAAGAAAAAACTTCTATAGGACCAAAAGTGGTAGAATTAAAAAAAGTTAAGTAGTTAACAAAAAGTTTCTAAAGTGACAAGATTGGAAAACGATTTAACAACTGCCAAAATCTCATTCCGAAAATTGTCAGAGGACTTGAAAGGTAACAAAATATGAAAATATAATCTCCCGTCCCATCTTTATCTCCTCTTTTGACTGGGTACAGGGATTATGAAACTGGAAATAGTGTCCAAAAGTTTTGTAGAGGAGAGCGAAATAATATGAATCACATATTCTTTGTGATTAAAGGAAAAAGGAGTTTATATTGGGACAGGCGAAAAAGGAAAGAATGAAATCTATTTTTGGATAAAGGAGTAACTGCTAATACAGTTCCTTCATTACTACAGGCAGAGCTGGCAGTTTCAGAGCTGTCGGGAAATGGTGCAGAAATATCTGCTGCTGCTACTAGCGCTGTTATTAGCACATTTGTTTTAGTTTTTGTTGCTGAATGGGGTGACAAATCATTTTTCTCTACAATAGGTGCGTTATGAACAACTCTGTATATTAAAAACAACAACTTATCACTGTCAAAATTCAAAAAACTGTCTTTGGAAAGATGTTTTCTTACTTTTCTATGTGCAGTGTAGTGTGTATGTTGACTTTGTTCCGCCATATTAGTTAATTTATCCTGAAGGTGGTGTTGATGTTCTTTCAGAACTGAATCAACTGTGTTTAATCATATATTATGAATTCAAAAAACTGTCATACACAATGTATGCACGGATTAATCGCATTCTTTGAACAATATGTTGGGAAACGATATCTACTTGAGCAGCACAAAGTTTTTTAGGTAGGTCCAGACGTCCAGTATATCAGTATAAAAATTACATAATTCAAGTAATCAAAATCTAAAGGGTTACTCAACATAGTAGAATTGTATAATTTATAAATTAATTGTAGGTTTCTATATTTTGTTTCCTTCTAATACAATTCCAATATTTCAGCTCTAGCTGCAGCCTCTTCACCTCTTGGAGTAATTGCCGGTTCCCTTGCTGGCCATGGAGTGGCAACGCTGGTAAGTTAATCAAGTGTTGTCTATTGTAATTTTCATGGTTCTAAAAATCGGCCTAGGCACCCTGATTTCGTTCTAATCGGTAGAAAAAATCGTATCCGGACCTAGGCGGGTGCCTAGTCGGCTAGGCGGTGGCTAGGCGGCCTGGACTAAATTTTTTCCCTAACCAACTTTTTTTTTTCAATTTTATCTTGAAACACCGTGTGATCAAGAAGTATTCTGTTCCTATATAATTTATTTTCATATTCCCACAATAAAATATAAATTTTAAATATAAATAAACTTTGTAGAATGTATTTTAAGATTTTTAGAGAGTAAAAATACAAATATCTTAATTTATTTATTCATTATTTTATTATTGATGATTTTACTATAAAAAACTTAACATTTAATGATTATATGAGCTATTTCTATTGTCAAAAGTTTTCAAATTTATTAGTAATATAATTAAAATTCAAAGGAAATAAAAAGAAAACAAAGAAATAAAGGGAGAAGACTTTGAAGTTCAAATATATTTACACACTATTATTCAAGTAATATATTACTTGTTGCGGATAAACTTGTAAAAGTAGTTGCGCGGCAACGTGGAAATATTAAATATAATAATATAAAATAATGAGTATATACTCCACCATCTTTAAGCTTAACTTTGTAGTTCATATGTTATATGTGTTAGATCCAATTCATATTGTATATTTTCCAAATTTATTGTTGGTGTTTGGATTTTTTTGAAATCTTTATATTTGTGGGTACATTATTATGTCTACTAAGACAATAAATTGTGCAGCTTGCTGTTCTAGGCGGTTCCTTACTGGGGACATTCTTATCTGAGAAGGTTAGATTCCTATACCTCGGGCACACCAATAAGTATAACATCCATATGTTGTTAGGATAGGTTTCATTATATGGAAATAAAACTTATAGGTCTTAAAAAACAGTAAAAGTTCCACAAAAATTATTAGTGATGTCAATTAGAACATGTAAAATTTGGCAGAGGGAGTGATATTTTTAGGTAATTATAAAATCTAACCTTATCTGAGAAGGTTAGATTCCTATACCTCGGGCACACCAATGAGTATAACATCCATATTTTGTTAGGATAGGTTTCATTATATGGAAATAAAACTTATAGATCTTAAAAAACAGTAAAAGTTCTACAAAAGTTATTAGTGATGTCAATTAGAACATGTAAAATTTTGCAGAGGGAGTGATATTTTTAGGTAATTATAAAGTCTGATATAAAGAAAATTATATAATAATAGTGTGTAAATATATTTGAACTTCATTTTTATTTCATTATATTTTAATCAATCTATTTATTAATAATAATAATAATAATAATATTAATATATACATTGATGAAAAAACAGATAACTTCAAAATACTACCCGTATAACAATTTGCTATGAAGACCCTTCACGACTTCACCCTTGCTCTGCATATGTAGATCCACCATTGAAAAAAAACATTTAGAGGCATAGTAGTCAATGGCTACATATGGCGCGCGCTGTATGCGCATCGCCATGAAAAAGTGGTCATCGCCATAGCGCCAAATGCTCCCTTCGTATTTGCGCCATCGCCATGCACCATGAAAAATGCCTTTGAGCCATGGCGATCGCCATGCGCCATGACAACTATGTTTAGAGGATTAGAGCGTTTCATGCTTTTCATGTTTTTTGCGTTTATGTGCCCTCACAACATCTAGGGAGACTTAAAATGGCCTTGTAAAACCTAAAATTGATAAATTACACTACCATCAAGTAGAAAAATAGGCCAAACAGTAACTAAGGAAGATGGAGAAAATCAGAACCTACAATGCAATTTATGGGACCTTTGTTCCTTGATAAAACTTTTTTGGCTTTACCCTTGTGCTGTTTCTAGTTTTGTATAGGTGTAACTATGATTAGAGAAACAAGTCCAAATAGGTAATTATTCGTTTATTCCTGTTTGGAGAGAACAAGGAAAATCTTTTGGGACTAAGTATAGGATGTTGTTGTGGAGAACAAAGAAAATTTGCACCATTTGCATTTCCAACAAGAATCTAAATGGGACTAACTTATCTTTCTCATTTAATTGATACTTTACTGTTATTTAGTATTTACCAAATTTATTAGTTCCCAATTTCCCATTAATACTATGGATTACTCAATGTGGTCCTACTATGGGGCAGTGCTTAGAGTGCTCAAGTTCTATACTTCTATTACCACCATCCCTTTAACCGGGTGTATTCTTGCTTTTAGTTTCTGATCGTGAGTTTTCACACCCTTAAAATATGTGTAAAATATGTGCTCAAGTTCTATACTTCTACTATTTGTGACTCATTTTAGTCAACGGAATTGTATAGAACCAATTACCAATTACAACACCCATAAATGCGTGTTAGAATACGGAATTATCAGTTTCTGAAATCAGAAAACAGAATTTTGAAAGTTATAAGAAAACAGACCTAGCAAACATGTTTATATTTTTTTTTCAGAAATTGAAACATAATGCAAAAATATTTTAAGAAAACAAAAACATAGAAGGTATTAAAAAATACATAGATGGTTTCATTATTTTTAACGAGTAAAGGGTCAGTTTGGTCCTCGAAGTTGCATAAAAGAGGTCAAATAAGTCCTTATATAGGAGATTCTGTCCGGACGTACCATTTGAGAAGGTTCCCGGTGGAATTTTTTGATAAATTGTTTTGAGCATTTTATTCATTAAGTCTAGTTTACTCATACCAAATTTCAGCTAAAAATTCAACCGGGAAGGCATTCAAATGAATTCTTGAAGATAATTGCGCTTTTAACTGTACAGTTATCTTCAAGAATTCATTTGAATGCCTTCTAGGTTGAATTTTTATTTGCAATTTGGTATGAGTGAACTACACTTATTGAATAAGATGGTAAAAAAATTTCATCAAAAAATTCCACCGGGTACCACCTCAAATGGCACGTCCGGATAGAATCTTCTATATAAAGACTTATTTGACCCTTTTTATGCAACTTGGAGTACCAAACTGACCCTTTACTCATTATTTAACCAAATATTGTTTAATTTCAGGTCATTGCGTACATTGGTGGCACTCTGTTCCTATTATTTGCTGTGGTAACCTTGGTAGAGATTGTGAAGTGAATACAGGTCTGCTCCGAATTTTTAAAAAAGTCGGACTGCTTACGTAGGCTGCTATAGAGCTGACAGAAGTGTAACAGAACCGAGGCCTTCCATGTGATTAAATGTTTCTTATCAGCAGAGTTTGATAAGTCTCCAAACTTTTATAGGGTTGCTCAAAACTCTGAGATAATGATTTTTTTCATATTATTTATGAGTAATGACTACACATCCTTATATATATATATATATATATATATATATATATATATATATATATATAGGACTTTTCCTATATATATATATATATATATATATATATATATATATATATATATATATATATATATATATGTATCTTCACAATTTGCTTCGTTTCGATTTCTCACACACCCCATCCAAAAGCTTGCTTTTGAGAAACGGTTTTCCTTCCACCATTGCTTCAGGCAAGCAAATGAAGCCGCTCATTTCCTGGCCCAGGTTTCCTTCTCGTCTCGCACCCCAAAAATTTTCACCCAAGCCTCTGATCTGCCGATTCGTGTTCGTGGAGCTATGAATTTGGATAGGGAAGGTTGTTCGAACGTTAGGATTGCCTAATCTTTTCATGCAGCTTTCCTTTTTCTGTTTGTTGTTTTTATTTGTTGCTTTCATCTTGTTGTTATTGGGCCTTCTCGCCCCATTTTGTATTTGAGGTATTTTTTAATAAAATCCGGTAAATGTTCCCCGGCATTTACCCCACTGATGGTGGTTTACCAACCGGGACAAAAAAAAAAAAAAGGACTTTTCATGTCCAGCCGGCCTGACGGGAACCGCCGTCCGGCCGAGGGCATTTCGGGCACTTCCCGGTGGAATTTTTTGATGAAATTTTTTGAGCATGTTCTTCATGAAGTCTAGTTTATCCATACCAAATTTCAGCTAAAAATTCAATCGGGAAGGCACTCAAATAATTTCTTGAAGTTAACTGGGCAGTTCATACATATAAACTGCCCAGTTAACTTCACAAAATTATTTGAATGCCTTCCCGATCGAATTTTGAGCTGAAATTTGGTATGGATAAACTAGACTTCATGAAGAACATGCTCAAAAAATTTCATCAAAAAATTCCACCGGGAAGTGCCCGAAATGCCCTCGGACCGAGCATCCCGTCAGGCCGGCTGGACAAGAACGGTACTCTATGTGTGTGTGTGTGTGTGTGAAATAATGATAAATATTCAATTGAAAAAGTAATTGAGGCACTATGACTTTCAAGACAGTGCGAGTTTGGAATGACTATCTGTATTGATGTACAATTTTGCACTAGTGATTACGTAGCCATATTTTTTTTGAAATAATTGCATATTTGTGACTGAAATAAACATCATTTACAAAAATATGACAATGACTAGAGTAGTAATAAAAATATAGTAAGTTATGCTAAATTTTTATATTTAAGTTATCACAACACTACATTGTGGTAACTATTAGTTATATTTTTGTAAATACGTTTTATTGAGAACTTTATACTTTTCTTTTTAAGATGTTCCTAAATAAGATCCTCTTATCTTATTTGATAAACAAATTCCCATCAATTTAACATATTAACCTTAAGTAATACGGATGTACAATGTCAAATTATGTCAATATATAGTGTACGAAGTAATATTTACCCTCATTGGCTCATTATAAAACGCATTTCAAGAAGTTAAAGGAAAATATTGTTGCCTTAATTAAAGTGCGGGCTTATTTAAACTTAGGAAGTTTTTGTAATGGAAGGAGGGAGTATCGGTTAAATACTTTCACAAAACAAATATTATTAACACACTAATCACAATTTGCACCGTGCACATTACACAAAATGATCTTCATCATCATATCCTAATAAAGTGTGCCCTCTTAGTCTCTTAGAGCTTATTTAAATTATAATATAATAATTTATAAGGTTTCGTTTTAAAGAATTTGCTTGATGAATTGTGTCCAAAAAAAGAATTTGCTTGAATTGATGCACGTCTTTATGGTTCTTTATTTACTTCTTTTGTTTCACGATAATTGTCATGGTGGCTAAATTTTGGTTCACATACATGGTTGTGTACGTTAGAAAACCAAGTGATAATTTAATACTAATACTCCACTTTTTGACCTTCTACATAATAAGTCTCAATAAATATTTTTTTCATTTTTTTCAAGAGGGATATTGATTCAGGGTATATTACCTAGTTTAGATTCACCACATAATTACTAAGCACCACATAATATAATGTGAAATAGAGGGAGTATGTATTTGTTTTTCTCAAGCAGACTTCTCCAGGCAGTTATCCTAATCATCAATTGATTTAGATACATCTTACAGAAAAAAAAACAATTGAAGTAAGGAATAAAAAGGTTTACATTATTTCTGAGAGGGTTATTTAGTTAGGTAAGCAAAACGCTGGGTGTGGAAGTTAGGCTCACTAAAGACTGTGTTGTGGTGGGTCTACCTTTACTTCAATTCTTTTTACTTCTATCTTTCCAATGATATATAATGGTACCATTTATAGATATTGCTCCAAAATAGGAGTAACACACAGACATACTACACAAATAGGGGTGACATTGTTTTATTCTCAAAATAGTACTTATTTTGTTCTAATAAAAGTATAAAACTTTCTCGATTAAAAGTGAATAAGCATTATTTTAAGAAGAAAATAATGTTGATCCTATTTGTGCACTTTGTCTATGTTTTACTCGAATTTAAGGAATTTTCTCTTCTTTTAGCGCCTCGGGTTTGAACTTTGCCATCTCGGAAAGCTTATCTACGGCATCAACCAAGTGATCAAGTCGAGCAATGAGCTGAATAAGCAAGGAGGCAAAGGTAGTAACTGACATTGTTGCATTGCTCTCTAATGTCTCCATCTGGGGATCTAAATTATCCCTTGACAGCCAAGAGTATATTCGATGGCATGGTTGTTCTGAAAGCTCATCAAGATCAGATAATGAGGTCTGAGATATTTGTTGATCCTGCTTTGATGAGATAATGAGAAGATATATATGATTTTCTATTGCTTTTTGTAGTCTTTTAGTCGAGGTATGAACCATGGCTAAATGGCAACCTTTGAAACTTTGTTGCATGTCTGATATATCTTTTCCCAACACACGTACAACCTCTATAGCATAGGTTGCTGCTTCTAGAATCTCTTTGCGGAATGTTGTCCTTACACTATATGGAGCCTGCATTCACATGCAAATGAAGAACTCTCTAAGTGTCAGAATGTCAGATGTTCTTCAAAACATCATTATGGAATTGAAATTGTTCAAAGTAAGAGTAAAACATCGTTAAATCTCTACAATGGTATTAAGTATGTTTTTTTTCAAAAAGGACTTAATTTGCCCTATTAAAAGAATAAAAAAATAAAAAGTTTTACTATGTAGATAGGCCGGAGTTCATTAGTCAAAATTTGGGTAGAAAACAATGAAACATATATTTGATTTTTACTCTATATAATTCGTTATGTTGTACTCCTTTAAGGATTTTTTTTTATTCAATACGCATTATTAAAGCCATGCAAGGCACCCCTACTTTATCCTCATTCACATGTAATTTCTTAAGAACTACAATTTCTTGAATTTCTTTTTTGCTTCTCATTTTGATCGAGTTAAAAGTTGCGAATTTCATTTGATGCTACATTATGAGACTTGCACTTTTTACGTTGCTTCCTTCGTGCCAAAGAGACGACATCTTCTATGTAGTTATAACTTCAATGAAGGAAAGTTCAGATATAGATTTCTAATATATAACTAACTAGAGAACTTATGCATATGGGTATGAGTAGACTATGTTAATAATGCATGCGGTGTGTGGGAAAAAGGCTTCCGACCCTAAAAACAACATGATAACGATTACCATACACGCCAAATAGCATTAAGTTAGGATATAAAACTTTAATTTTTGGCGTAAGTTCGGAAAGTGTCCATCTTTTTTCATACTTGTAGTAATGTTTCCAATAAGCATTTGCTCAAAATAAGACATAGTAGAGTTATGATAATAAAAAATATCTATATATTTGGTCATAAATAAGTACTTGGTGATGCATGACATGATATGGCCATATGATTACAGTGTCGGATACGTATAAGTATAAGTATAAGTAAATACCAGTGGCGGATTTAGCCCTTAAACTTTGAGTGTTCAAACTAACATTAAAAATTATTTTTCAAATGATAGTATTAATTTATGCAAGAATTATTCAAATGTATCATTTTCAATAAAAAACTACAAAACGGCTAATAAACTATGGACATATTTTTCTAATAAAAAAAATACTAAATTGTCAATAAATTTAGAACCCGTTTGGTGAACCCCTTTTTCGGCTTATAAGCCAGCCTTTTCACCAAACATGTAACTTTTGGTTTCACGCGCTGAATTGTGTAATAAGCAGAAAAAGTAATGTTGGAGTTACTTTTCTGGCTGTATTAGCTGAAGTTACTGTAGATGATCATTTTTCATAGAATTTTTTATTTTATTTATTAATAACAAATATTTTAAATATAATTTTTTCATTAATCAGCCAATACAGCCACTTCAGCCAGAAGTTCATAAATTTCAGCAGAATCAGTCAATTCAACCAACTTTAGTGTTACCAAACAGGCTTAATACACCATTTTACTTTTCCTACTATTTTTAGAAAGATTAAATTTCATTGCTATTGATGATCAAGAATATATTTCTCTCAAATGAGGCGTCCATTGAACCACTATGCTCCAAAAAAGACAGCTCACCAATCTTCAAAACGACACAAATATTTTGTCAAAATGCAGTAAATGTCCTAGTTCTAGTTATTGATTTTTGAAAATTGAGGGTGTTCGAATGAACACCCTTCAACAGCACCAGGTCTGCCATTGGTAAACACTGTTTGGTCATCTCTTTTGTATGTTGATAATGACATGATCGATATGGTCGTAATGACGGGGGGCGTGGGGGGCGACCGCCACCCTTGGACTTTCAAAATTTTCTATCATATACTCCGTATGTAATATTTTCATAAAACTTTCATAATTTAATTAGATTCGCCCCCCTTAGCTTTTAATTTTCAAAAGTAATATACAATGTTACATAATGTAATACTTAATTGAAGATTTAAAAGAAGGAACATCTAAAATAATTACATAACTTAAACAAATAAACAATAGAATAACTCGTTGTTTATGATTTAGGATACTTATTATATAAGAATTCCTAGTTTTGTAATGTTTAATTATTTTTATTAGAAAACAAGTACTTGATTTTGTAAAATATATATCAAATAATATTAAATATCAGACACACTAATTACACAGTTTTTAGATCACGTGAAATGAATCTAAAATATAAATGTTTATTGACATTAAATTACATAATTCATTTACTTCTTGCTTTCTAAAAATAATTTATTGCATAGATAATAAACTTTAAATTATTATAGCATTAATACAAATATTAAAATATAATATGCATAATATATGTGTGTGTGGTGCATACTATTCTAAAAATAATAATATCATACATACTACTATTCTAATATTAAGAAAATTTCTCATGAGTCATGACTCACGAACACCCTCCTTGGTCGCCGGACAAAAATTACTAATCAATAATAGCCGATTCATGAGGTTAAACAATGTAGAAGTTATTAAAAGTGTATTGGTTGGTGTCTTTGTCATCATCTAATTTAAACTTAGAATGTACAACTTAATAGATTTAAATGTCGTTGGGGATGTGTATGTATTAATGTCATTTTTTGAATAAAATTAGCCGCATAGCCCTACAGTAGTGGAAAAAATTCGCCCCGCTACACTAGGGGAAAAAATTCGCCCCGCTACACTAGGGGAAATTTTTTTCACTCCCTACACTACCGAAAAATTTCGCCCCCCTTGAATAGAAATCTTGGATCCGTCCTTGGGTCGTATGGTTTTCCAGATGAAAATATTTTACTCTTATTTAAATATAAAAATATACGCTGTAATACTCTTATTTAGCGAAAACATCTTGTTATTATTCACAAGATGTTTAAATCAGAGAGAATTTAACTTTGCATTGCATCCCTTTTTTTTGATGATATTTGATTTTGCCCTCTATTTTCAAAATCATTAATGTATGCACTCAAAATCACTGTAAAATCATTTCATTTTGCAGTCCACTCATTCACAACTTTTGGGTTAATGGGGCACACAAAATAGGATATAAACTCCAATATCACTGAAACACATGAAGTGCAAAGTCTAAAATAACGCAAAAACAAAATTTAACGGGAAAAATCATGTATGGTCAAAGAAAAATAGCCATGTGTCAAATATTGACAAAGTCACACTTTGGACATAATGTGACTGGGTCCGTTTTGAAAATTTTGGGCAAAATTGAGAGCAAAGAGATCGGTTTAAATCTTATTTTCATTAATTTAATATTATACAGAGTATGTTTTTTTTTCTAAAGTAGTACTCAAAGTAAATTTATAGATAAAAATATGATCAAAGTTATTATGAAGGTAATATCACGACCATTATAATGTAAAGTTTTTATTTTTGGAGGAAATATAATGTAAAGTTGAATATAGTTATAATAAATAAAGGTTAGTAATATAGCTAGGGAGATTTGACCGTGCACCTCACTTTTTGGGTTATATTGGAGTTTGCATTCCATTTTCAAAAAAAATTGCACCATATTCCACCTAAAAGTCTTTTGACTTTGCATCCCATTCAAAAACAATCTTCACAAAGTGTATGTGTTTGGGTGCAAAATAAAATATTTTTCAAAATACGGTGCAAATTCCAATATCACCCAAAAAGTGGGGTGCAAAGTCAAATCCCACCATTAATATATTTGCTATTACTTAGAGCTTGTTTGTCATTTGACTACCTTCGTGATTGAAGTTTTAGCTGAAATTTGGTATGAGTAAACTAGACTTGATGAATAAGATGCTCAAAACATTTCATCAAAAATTCCATCGGGAACAGCCCCAAGTGCCAACGGCCGGACAGAACCTCCTATAAAAGGGGTGATTTGAACTTTTTATGTAAGTTCGAGGGTCTATCTGACCCTTTTTCCTAGGAATAATGACTAGGCAGCCATATAATGGGAAAGATGTTGTTTTAGTAAGGGCATCCACATCCATAGATTATTTTTGGGAACATTTTGATATGATGATGTAGAAGATTTTTTGGGGATCATGGATGAGGAGTTGAAATTATTTTATGAGATTATTTGATAAAATAATCTGGTATCAAATTCTAAAGCTGAATTATTTTGAGATTATTTCTAACTTTTAGACTTCTATCTCTTCTAGGCATATACTCATAATTAAGGTGATGACTAGTTTTGTAGAGATTTTGAAATTGAGTACATGTCTCATAAAAAATCTAGGTAAATTTGAGATAATCTTATGTGGAAGTGACATGACAATAAGAAGCCATAAAAACCGTAAACTTGAGTATCATAAATGGAGATGTTCTAATATGAGTGATAATTTTCTCTAAAAATGTTCATTGCAACGTACGCTCAGAAGTGCGTGTGACAGTGTTAGTCCATTGTATTATGATCAGAGAATGCTGGTTGAAAAAACAATTTGGTATGTACATTAACGAGACCTGGATTTCTGCATGAAGTACACCATGAAGAGCTATAACTTCACAGGCACAGCATCTCAAAACTTCACCAACCTTAACATATTCTGACCATGGGTAAATGACATGGCTGAACCTCCCATGGGGTGGCTCCCATTTTGCAGATATTGCCTTGTCAATAGAACCACAAGCCACAGAATATTACTAGTATATTTTAAAAACAAAAACAAACCATTATAATGTTGACTGTTTTCATATATATTTGTTCATCCATAACTCCATAAGCCAGAGATCGAAGAATATATATACTTTTACACCAATTCAAAGATAAAATAGGGATGAATGGAAATATTGATTTCTACCAGTGATTCAATCTTTTCAGGAGAGCTCAATGCAACACGGGTTTTCAAGTATGCAGCTGGCTCATCCCTAAACTTAAGGTAGCTCGGTCTTCCATCATCTTCTTCCAAATACTTTCTTACACATTCTGAAATATGACCACACATGCATCTTCTGATCACTAACCGGCCTTCAAATGGTTTTTTCTTAAACTATTCCAAACTATCATCAAATTCACAAAGTTATCCTAATCTTTCACTTTTATCAAAAAAAAAAAAGACTCAAACTTCGTCTTTTTCAACAATTACGCTTTTCTTTTTTGTTTTTTCAAAATTACACATTTTTATCAATACCAACTAGATATAAGCAACACAAATTTGTAAATTTGTAACCGGCCTATGCATGCATGGTTTTTAATTTCTTTCTTATTTTTATCTGTTTCATCTTCTTGCCCGTGTTTATTGGTCGAGGGTGTTACTTGAGAAAATAACCAAATAGGAGTACAACATTATGAACTTCCAAAAATAGAACTTAGCGACTTTTCCGTATATGTGACAGGAGACCGAGTCAATGCAAATAATGTCCTTAATTAAAGAAAGCAAGTATATTCTTATCTCAAGGTGAATATATACCATTGTGAAACAAGAATATCATCATTGACACTATTGTACTTCCATTATCAAGTCAAATTGACATCAATAAGCCAAATATAATAAAAATCAAGTCAAATTGACATCATAAATCAAGCAATAATGTTATCCTTCACTGAAATAAATCTCGTTTCAATGGACATTTTGTTAGCATATTGACTGAAAACATATCAATAAAAAATGTCATCTCCATTAGTAATAAAAATGTCATCTTGATTGTCAATTTACAAAAAACAGAAGTCATATTGAGATAACATAAATGTGACAAAAAATGTCACGGCCAAATTATTAACTTGAACAGGGGTATCCTAGATAGTACGCGCGCGGCGCGTATTGCATAAGGATGTTTTCTTTTGGACTGAAATTTGCTGGTCTGATAAACGTCTGGTTTCTGTGTATTTTATAACTACGGAAGTCTGGTCTGGTCTGATCTGATCTGAGACTAAAAACAGTCCAAAAGAAAACATCCGCCAACTCTGAAGGAGAGCATGTGAGTCTTTAAACGGGAATAAGTCATAGTCAGTCACTCATATTGTGTCATTGTGATTATGTTTTGTTCCTATATGGATCATTTTTATTTATATCTCTATATTTATCTAGTGTTCATTTTTTCATTTTTCCTATTTGACCAACATTATTGCTACTCCCTCCATCCCCTAACAATGGAATAAGAGGGAGTGACATGCAAATTAATAAAAAGTGGTTTATGTGGTTGATATTGAATTGAAAAAATAAGAATAAAGTAAGAATGATTTAGAGCTCCACAAACTTTACCAAATTTGGTACTACCTTCGTCCCAATATAATTAGCCATCTTTGACTTTTCCAGTCAAAGATGGTAAACTTTGACCAATTATTTTAACTAATATATTTATGCAAAATGTAATAATTTTACACTTTTATGATAGTATTTTTAACAAAGAACATTTTCATAGCATCAATACTTTATCTATATAAACATATAATCGGTCAAAGTTAGACGTTATTGACTTGAAAAGTCCAAGTTTGGCTAACTAAAATGAGCCGGGGGGAGTATGTGACAATCTTAGTGGGACGGGCCGAAAAGGTAAAATGCGACAATGATAGTTGTACGGAGGAAGTACTTCGTATTATTTTATGCTTAGTATAACGGTTATAACCAAAATTTGTGGACACACCCCAAATTTGGTTCTGTTTATTAATTACCTTCAAGTGAGTCAGCAACTATATTGAAGCTGGAGACAAGCTCTTTGTGTAACAGCTCTCCAGCCCAGACGGGACAAACTAGCACATTTACCAGCACAGCTATTATTGTCCCGATGACGATCGAGTAAATCCTGTCCACGGAAAATTTTATGGCGCTCTCCGTCCGATATCCAGAAACTATGATCAAACAGAAGGTGAAAAGTGTAACCCGAAATCCATATTCGTATGGCACAAGAGGTGGCCATAGCTTCATTAAGGATGTGATCATCGCTGCGGATACAAGAAATAAACACCAAAGTTTTATATTAAAATAGGCAAATTAATCTCTTCATCTTAACTATGTACACATTTGGTTCCCTCCCAAACTTTGATAAATTATAAAGTACAAATTTTTTGTAGTAAACTTTGTTAAGAATTCCCTCATACAAATATTTAACTTTCTTGATCAATGATACTATGTACGCAGTACTACATACGGAGTATTAAACACCAATGGTATATCGTAAACAAAATGGTACGTAAGTGTTCTTTTCAAAACTACCTACTTATATAAAAGTTCAGGCTTTCAGTTTTAATTAGGTCAAGCTTTGTAATTAACTTTAACCGCTAACTAATGGTTTGAAAATTGGATTTCCTTATAACAGATCATCAAATACTATGGGCGTGCTTGGCATTTAGCTGATGGTGGATAGCGGTTGTCAATAGAGGATCCAATCAGTGGGTGTGACTAGCAGAATATGTTGACGGGTTACTAGAAGACGTTTGATAATTTAGCTGTTTGACCTTAAAATTTAGTAGCAAACGTCATTTTCCAAAACGCTAACTCAAAACTCTAATATTTGCAGCGTTCCATTTCAGTGGTTTCATCCACAACGCTACGGTCGAATAGCTATTTACCAAACGGTGTTTTCATTTTATTGGAAACGCGCGCTAAAAGGGGTCAAACCACCATTTTTTGGCTGAAACGTCATTTTCCAAACACCTCCTATGTACTACGTATTTTTTAGTGTTTTGTGATACCATGTACTAATGTATGACACCAATGTTAGTATATAACAGATTTTTGTGTAAGTTATAAGTATTTAATCTTAATTACTTACTATAAAATGCCAGAAAAATCGTAAGAGTCAAACCAAGAGCTTAAATCAATGATGAATTGATGAAAACATTAGTCACGTACTGTAAAATATTTGACAAAAAAAGTAAAAAGTGGAAAACTTTTGTGTGATAAATATAGTGTATGGGATTTCGGACGACGTCTGGCATACCAACAAGAAAGATGGCGGTACCAATGAGCATAGGCTCAGCAATATGCCCACTTCTCACAGCTATTTCAGATATGGCAATGGCTAGTCCCACCGCAATCATGCTTCCCAATGCCCTGTTTAATCCTCGATTCAGTGTCGCACCTTGCATGCACGGTGCAGTTCATTAATTCAAAAACGTAACACAGAAATAAAGATTCATCATTAATAATACTACGTATAGATTTGTTAAGGGAAAATTCCTGGAATAGGAGTAAAAACATTTCAGAATTTCAAAAATAGGTCTGTCATGTTTTTATTGTCTAAATATGAGTAATTACTATCAAGCTCTGAAATACTGTCATAGTAGTAGAAAGTTCAAGATAACTTAATTTTTTTAATTTTATTTAATCTAACTTTTTTCTTTTTACATATTAATCTACCACGTTAGTGTTAAGCCTAGTATAATTACTCTTTGACTTAGTACAATTCAGATTAATTACTGGATCCACTTAAGCAAAGTACATATAGATAAGAATGGGGAGTGAAGAAAATACGTGCATACCAACGTTATATTCAAATATCATGACAACAGTGACGATGGACCATATACTGCTATCACCAAACAGTTGATAAGGAGCTTGAAACAATGTGATAAGTGAAACCAGGAGCACAGCCAGGCCAACTTTTAGTGGAAAAAACACCCTTTTAGTGTCCTCTTTGTAGAAGTCTGCTACCCTGAAAATCCACCCTTTGCATGGCAAGCTTATCTCAGCTGATTTCTTCTTATCATCCTCAGCAATCGAAGGAGCAGAACCCTGTATATTGATCTCAACACTACTACCCTTTTCCCCACTCATTCTCTACTTTAATTACAAAGAATCTGATCTAATCTGATCTGCTTAGGCTGAATGAAAGTTTAAGAAGAGAATGGGTGAGGTATATATAGTATAGAGGGAAGTTGGTGTAGAGAGCGTGTGCAAATATAGCCTGGCAAGAGAAGCATGCAGCATATACGTTAGGCAAAAGAATAAATAAGATGCGGCCAACCAGCTGGGAATGAATATATATGGATGCCAAATAAACCTCGGTTATGCTTAACCTGGGACGACAGAGAATTAGAATCTATCAAATAATAATGCATGGTCTATAAGTTTTGTTTCATGCATATTTATTATTCTTTCATAACATTATCTCCCAATGCATCCAATCAGAATGTGATGATGAAAGTGCAGTGGAGCCTTTATTAATATCTTCAAATTAAAAGTCATGCATTAAACTAGTAGGGTGAATGAAATCATAAAGTGAGTTAATTATCAGTCATGCATTGGACTAGTATCATAACGCTAAAAAATACGGAGTATATATTAAGAGTCTCGTTGATAACTCTAAAATAGATACTCCGTATATAAGTTAATTATATACGAAACGTTAATTACATTTCATATACGAAACGTGGCACGCAGAATAATCACTAAATTAAGTAACGCGAGTTGCCGAGTTGCAATCGAGTGCACGAGTTACATTTGCCACTAATTGACATTACATTTGATAACAACGCAAGTTACAATTAAATGCATGCGATTTATGTCACAAAAAGTATTAAGACAAAAACAAGGTTATTGTTGACACGTGTTTTTTTAAATTAAATCTTAATCTAAATGACGTCATTTTAGATGTAGGTGAGAGTATAATGTTTACCATAGGCATTGCTAATTAGGGAGAACTGTTTCTCATGGAATGTGTCTTGGTTTATGATTCTCTTCGCACGTACCGGTCTTTGTGAAATGTGATTTTAGTTCAATCCTGGGGCATCAATCTTTCCAAAATGCGTTTTCCTTATAAAAATACTCCGACATATGATCAATTCTGGAGCATCCATCTTTCTGGAGTAGCATCTTATGATCAAGCTACATAGTTAAGTTATAGATACACCTCTTTTACCCTTTAGGCCTTTACCGACATATCCACATATAGGTACTAGGTTTATTAATTAATTAGTTTAATAAGAGATTAAGAGATTTCTCTAGGGTTACCTTCGGGTAATGCCTAGTCTTTGTCCGCTGCCAGCTGCCTAGGAGGTCTCGGCCGTCGTCGGTGGCTGTGTTGGAGTGCGGTTTTTTTATCGAGCTCTTCGGGGCTTCGCTTTGGTTGGAGCTTTGTTTCGGTCGAGGAGGTCAGCGGCGGAAGGAGGAGCGTTGGAGCTTTCGGCGTGGTCCGCCAAAGTCGTCCTTCACAAAAGTTTCGTGTTGTTACGGGGGATTCATGCGATTGGAGAGTTTTGTATACAAGTACAAAAACATAGCGATTGGGATGGAGGAAGAAGATCTGGATTTCAATACGGAAGACGTTCCGGTAGGGAAAAGCAGTCCAGGGTTTCTGGTGGTAGGAGTGATACTGACTATTGAAGCGGATGAGTGGCGAGTGCGTCCCCCTCCCGAGCCGCCGCCATGGAGTGCAAGCATAATTTCCATGTCTAAATTTGTGTTTTTAATTAGTTTAAAGTGATTGTTACTTTGGAAATTACACACTATTGGTGTAATAGTTTAGTTTGTAAAATATTTGTAATATGTTTAGATTAGGTTTATTCTGAGCTCAAACAGGTCCAAGAACAATTTGGGGACCATTGGTGAACACCACAAGTGGAAGGAAAGTGCAAAAATGCAAGACAAAAAGTGAAGATTTCGTTTTTGGTCTGTACCCGGTCGGGTATGACCTATACCCGGTCGGGTACCCTTCTGAAAAATCAAATCGGATCAACCCGGGAACCGAGCAACATGCGGGAAAGATTTTGGCCATGTTCGATTGTCATACCCGATCGGGTGACCGACAGACCCGATCGGGTATGACCCTATTTTTCAGTTTCTGGGCAATTTCCTAAGATACCCGATCGGGTATCCTATATACCCGATCGGGTATCAGACCCTGCAGCTCCCAAAAGCCTATAAATACACCCCTTTCCTTCACAATACAATCACCAATTCACATATACTCTCTAGCTCAGTTTAGATTAGTGTTTTCTTTATATTTTTTCATGTTTAGTCTCCAAATGAGGAGCTAAACTCTTCCATCTTGGTTTTGCTACTTTGAAGCTTAATGAATTTGTAAGTTGTGAGTTATTCTCTTTAATCTTCTTCCTTGAATATTACTTCTTCCTTTAAATACTATTTCTATATCAATGTTGGGAAGTGTTACTAAGATGACAATTAGTTAACATCTTGATATTAACTATAGTAGGATTCATCTTCTTTAATATTCTTCCTTGAGTATTAATTAATTCCTATTCATATTTCATATTAATATTTTGAACATTACTTAAAGGATCAACTAGTTTTGTTTCATATATTAATTATTACTAGAATCGGTCGATTAATACGCTTGTTATTAATTCGGTCCTTTCACGGTAGTAAACTTGGGTTATTAATGCATGCGTTTCATGGTTAATAAGCCAAGGAGAATTAATTATATTGATTAAACCAATAAACCGCTTGTGTTGAGGTTATCAATCTCAATCGTTTTCATCTTGATTTTATTGCTACTATCGAGTAAATATACGGCGCGTGTTCTATATTAACTCGGTAGTAAGTTTTATTAATGAACGCGTCTCGTTATTAATAACTACCCTCGATGAATTGGATATACTCCTCAATTGAGTATTCGAGAGGAAGATAGTTAAAGGTATAACCGGGATCGACGAGCATTTCATTAAGTGGATAAAAGCAAAATCAAGTCTCCTTCTCATTAATTAAACCACATAACTCGTTCATCTTTGTGTTTTAATATTCTTAAAAGTTCTTCAACAACAAACCTAAAAAAAACCCCTTCTTACTAGTTATAAAAAAGAGAAGTATCCCTTTCCCTGCGGATACGAACCTTACTACGCTATACTACGTATAAGTGTTGTATTGTATTATTATTTTGAGTGCACATCACGACAAAGTGCACGTCAATAACTCACGCATAAGAAGATGTAACTCCATGTAGTATCAAATATAACTTCAGAAATCATGTGTAAATGTAACTCACACATATGCAAATGTAATCGCACACATGAAAATGTAATTACCTCTTGTAAATAGAACAGGTAATTAAACTTAATGTATTGAAAAACACTAAAAAGATATAAAAGAGATAAAAAGTAATTGTAATCATATTTTTAATATTTTAATGATGGAGTTGAAGATAATTGGAAAAGAAAACGAAGGAAAAAAAAAAAGAGAAAGAAAATCAGATCAAAAAGCAAGAGAAAAGGAAGGGGAAGCGGGAAGAAAAGTAAGTGTGTGGAAGCATGGGAAGAATAAAAAATCTGGGGAGGAAGCTTTCTGTCAGTTGCGTCTTGCGTAGAACGGTGCTGGGAAGAAATAGGCGGTGATGAATCGGAGAAGAATATCAGCCGATAGAAGGAGAGAAAATATATCAGATGCGCTGTTTTTAATTACCAAAACGGTACCGTATTGAGATCGGCACACCATGCACATGGTGTGCCAATCCCACGGTATAATTTGCCAATTATTTTTGGGAAAAGATTCAAATAGGCTTTTTAGTATTTTCTTAAATCCATCACACGACTTGAAGTACGGGTATCACATAAGTAAGCATGATTATTTGGACCTGTTATAGCAAGACATATTTAAAAATACGTATTAATAATTAGTGGGCCCCGCTCGGGGTAATAAAAAGTAAGAAAATTTATGATTCTTTTATGGGAAATTACCCTAAATAAGACTAAAAGCGTTTGTATATTTCAAAATAGAATTATCATGTTTCCTAAAAAAAATAGAATTATCATGTTTTTATTCCTAAAAAAATAATAATTATTGTCATGTTTTGACAGTATTAGACTTTAAATATAGCAATATTTTTCAAGTTTGACAGTAAGTGCTCATATTTTGGGAATAAAAACATGATAGTTTTATTTGAGAAATTTACTTTCTTTTAACAAAATCATACTCTGTGTATGTTTTACAAAATATAGATATGGAAATATACAAAATAGTAAAATGTCAATAGATAAATAATTTTAAAAAAGTGAAAATAAAAACTGAAAATAAAAAATATCCAAAAATGAATAAAAACATAAAACTAAAATGTTAAAACTTTTAAAAACATATTTTGAATATCAAACGCATTCAAAATAAATAAACATAGTATAATTTGACATTTTTAAATTTTGCAATTGTTCTATGTTTTCTGAATATAGAAAATTTTATTAGATTTTTCTTTAAAAACCCCGCTATAACAAGTCAAAAATCACTTAAGTAACTAGATTGATCAATTTTATGAAGTAAGCAGATTTATACATACTTTTTTAAACAGATGAAATAATGTGATGAATTAAAAATAGTAAAAGGTTCTATTTGAATATTTTCTTTTTGGATTATTAGCTAAATATATCCTCAATTGTCATCAAATTCACAAATCTATCACATACTTTCACTTTTATTAAAAAAAAACTCAAACTTCAACTCCTCTCACAATTACACTTTGAATGGATGAATCAGTCAAAATTAAGAAGAGAATTATATTTATATTTCATATTTTTTCCACTTCTTTCTAGTTTTAAGTTTACAAACTTATATTGCTTACGTAGTATATCTTATTGTATTGATAAAAATTTGTAATTATGAAAAAACAAAAAAGAAAAGCATAATTGTTGAAAAAGATGAAGTTTGAGTCTTTTTTGATAAAAGTGAAAGTATAAGATAGATTTGTGAATTTGATGATAGTGTTGGATAAAATAAGGTAATAATCCTTTCTTTTTCTAGTTAGTGGGTGCGAATTGGAATTAGATATTTCTTCTTTGCTAATGGCATCGACCCTGCTCTCAGTACATATGACACTCTGTTGCCATGTTGATTCTGGAACATGTAACTGACCATTTTATTCTATTCTACATAAATCGATCACGAATCAGATATTTCTGTCTTCAATAGGTGTT